CCCCCCCCCAACCGCCCCCTACCCTGACCCCCCAACATGGCATGCATATTCGCCTGGACAGGTTCAATATTCCCCCTCCTGAACTCCGAAATAAAGCACCCCGCCTGACTATCTACGAGATAACGAAAACAGGTAAATAGACCAACACAAAACACACAACACAACGTGCATTTCGTACAACTGTCATGACTCGACATCCGCTTGTGGGGGGGACGTTTGATCGAACCCAAGTATGCCTGTAGTGAATCGACGACTAATTGGGTGTATGCACAACATTAGCAAATGCATACCCAAAAAAAGACGGCAGCAAAGACAACACCTTCATGGCACCATTGCATTTCATTTCAGGAGAATACACCGAAACACACGCTGGAGAGAAAGAGGGAGCCGATTTCGATTGAAGACAAAAAATCTGAAAAACAACAGCATTAAAGACAGCACCTTTATTACACCTCTGCATTTCATTTACGACAAATACACAAAGAGAGAACGAAATTGATGTCGTCATGTAAAAAAGGAAAGTGCATACTGCACTTCATCGATGCCAATTACAATTCAGAGTTGACGGAATCATCCGTCCCGTCACACGATCGAGGCCAACAACAAACGGAACGAACAATGTAAAAAAAAAACATTTTTAAAAACGAAAACAAATTTCACTTAAGGACTCATCAACCGAATCAGACTAGTACCCAATTCCTTGGCCAGCACCGCCATTGGGGGAACGACACATCGACGACGACGGCGATGGCTAAGATAAGCTACATCGACGACGGAAAGACTATCACTTTCGCTCCGTCCAATTCCATGCAAGTGAACAGAGAGCACAACAGAGGCGACACTAAGTCTAACGTTTGGCGATGGCCTTCGCTATCTCCAGCGAGGCGTGACACATAAGCTTGCTGACTTCGTCTGACGCTGCGTAGTGCTTTTTTTGCACTTCGATCTCCGCTTTCAGCGCCTCGCAATGACGTATGGCGATGGAGCAATGACGTTTGCTGTTGCTCTCCATCGTTGACGCCATTAACGCCCCTTGCTTCTCCATGCACTCCGTCATTGCCTCAAATGTTTGCCGCCTTGTGCTCTTCCTCTTGCCAAAACCGCCTGCGCCACCCGTCGTGTGCGAAGAACCTTTGGTGGACCCGTCGTCGTCGTCGTCGTGCGCTGCACCACTGTCCCCGTCGCGCACAGATTCAGGATCCGCTGAAGAGGCGGATGGCAGACGCACACCACCCTGAGCGCCAGTGTCTGCGGCGTTCTTCGGGTTTATGGTGTGGTTCTTTGCGGTCGACCCTAGTATCTCGTCATAAACCGCACGATCCATATTGAAACTGAAGCCCTTCGACATCCTGTCCTTCCCAGACAATTGGAAGAAGTCCTGTTTCCCGGACAGTCCTTGGAAATGATGAACCTTCTTGAACTGCTGCATCAGATTGTCCCACTTCTTCCCGCACCGATCGGCCTCTCTGTCGACGCCCACCTTCTTCAACCTCGTTGCCACATCCAGCCACTTCCATTCTCACGGCTTCATCCGAGCGTACGCGTGGCCCATCCCCTGCAAATGCGCATCCTGATCACGTTTAGCCCGGATGAGGGCTATAATGTCGTCGACGGACCGAAAGTGACGACCTCCTTCACCATCGACGTCACCTTCGGCATCACTGCCCTTGCCTGCCGTCCTTTTGCCCCGACAACCATTACCGCCACACGACTTCGTCTTCCCGCCCCTCCCTCCCATAGCGGCCGCCTGCTTCTATGGCGAAATGTAGTCTGCGTCGTCCTCCCAACCTTCAACACCGTTGTCGTTCCAGTCGGGGTCGTGCACGTCCGCCCCTGCTTCCTCGCCGTCGTGCCCGTTTTCCCCAACACGCAATCGCTGCMCCCCCCGAGTTATGGACTCCTCCCGCCCCGACCTCATCAACCGTCGCTGTTCTGCCCACACCTCCCTTCCGTCACGTGCGTCACCAACATCAGCAACGGCAGGCGCCGTCTCCCTACACTCGCCAACACGACGACCTGCACTCGATCCGACAGACAGGGGAGACGGAGACTGCATCCACTGGGGGCGAGCGGAGGCACCCCTACACACAGACGACGACCGAAATTGCTGCCTAGGAGGATCCTTGTTGTTCCCCGAAGCCTCCCGCAGCGGCGCTGGAGACCTGGGTGATCGCTGAACAACCGTCACGTCGCCGCTATCGTCGTCGGGATGGGGGTTTACGACGACCGTTCGAGAGACGGCTGCCGACCTCCCGCTGCCGAGTCCAAACGACAGATTCACGCCGCCATCGCCATCAGTGTCACTGAGCCCCTGCTGGAGGAGTTCGGTGTACGACTGCCCTTTACCGCCGTCGCGGCTTCCAAACAGCTTTGTAACCGCCCACTCCTGGGTGGATCCGCTTCCCAGCGGCACGGTCCGTGACCGTCTATCGTCCCCTTCCTCGTCGTCCGTGTCAGGCAGAGGTTGCAAGTCCGGTGGCAGGTGCGCGTGCCCGGACCGCTCCGATGGCCTTGGACTATTCGACGGGCTGTGCCCGGACCACCGCCCACCGCGCTCCCCTGCGGACCCGCTGATCGCCTTCCGGCCCTCCATTCTGTCGTTGTTCTTCACACACCTCCTTCTGCGACCACGTCGCGGAAGGCCGCTGAGGATGCACACGTGGAAGACAACCAGGAGGAGGAGCAATAGGACGACCTGCAGCAGCAGCGGCAGCCTCCGAAAGACGTCGGCCATGAAAAGCACGTAGACAGTGGCAGCTAGTAGACAACGGGGGATCTATCACGTGACGGCGACGGACACTGCTGCAAACGCCTGACCGCAACAAACGACAAAAGCACGGTAACGCATTCCGTTTGTCAACCGCCCGGCCGGGGGACGGTTCAAATATTCGAATCTTGCGACCGTTGGGCGCCTTCCCGCTCGGGGACAAGGGCGGCGACGCAAGAAAGCCGCTTTTCGACGTCGGGGAAGCGACCGGGCCGCAAAAGGGGACCGTTGGCGCACTCTTCCATGACGCCGACCGTTGCCGATCGAAGATGTCCGTCCACGGGCGCCAGGAACAACAGTGGTACAGACGGCCGTCGCAAAATGTCGTCGAGAGAGCTGCCGACGACGTCCCGATTCTTCCGGATGCTCGACCTCCGAGGGACCTCGGGAGGTCCCTTGGGGAACGCGTCGAAATGGCTGTGGCCCGAGGAATCCCCGAGGAAATGTTTTCACATTTTTTTTTCAATTTCTTCCCCGAGGATAAGTGGAACGATCATTTCGTCGGGGGATTTACGTGCCCGAGGAGTGTGGATTCACTGTGGAACGAGCCCCAAAATTCGTAGACGATAGGGGGGTCGAAAGTTTTTGGGTCCTTCGGGACATCCATTAAAATTGGAACGATACAGAGAAGATTAGCATGGCCCCTGCGCAAGGATGACATGCATAAATCGAGAAATGGTCCAAAAAAAAAAAAAAAGGTTTTTGGAGAACAACCTGATTTTTTTTTTTTTTTTTTTTCGTTTCATGTTTATTTGTTGATTGATTGATTGATTGCTTGGTTTGGGTGGGGTGCCCCCCCCCCACCCCCAGCGGGAGCCCCCCCAACTCAACCAATCAATCAATCAATCAATCAACAGATGTTTTGGTTTTTTTTCTTTGTGTTTGTTTCATTGACTGATTGATCAATGGGGGAGCCAACACCCCCCTCCTCCTCCTTTTTTTTTTTTAATTGATTGATTCCCCCCGCCCCCCACACACTTTTTTTCAAGTTTTTCTAATTTCTTGGCCAGGCAGCGAAGGAAGCTGACGAGCGGAAAAAGGGATTTGAACCCTCAACCTTAGCCTTGGCAAGGCTATACTCTACCATTAAGCTATTTCCGCCATCAATACACTTTGTGGTGTGCTCCCCGTGAGAGGCCGAAGGAAGGAGAATCAAATGAAAAAAAAAAAAACATTATAAAAGAAAAGAAAACGCTCTTGCGAGCTGGGATCGCCAGCAGAGCAGAGTGGGCCCAAGTAGATTTGAACTAAGGTTGCCCCCCCCCCGTGCACACACACACACACACACACGGCGGGAGGGGTTCCTGCTGTTGGGCAGGCAACCTGCACCCATGCCCCTTCTATTTTATTTTTTAGTGAAAAAATGCGGAGTGCAGAGAAACCCGCTAGCCAAGTATTCTACGATGTGTGATGCAATTTTATGGTTTTTTGGAAAATACAAAGTGATTTTTTATTTGCACGAATGGATTGTTTTCTGATCTAAAATAAATTGAAATAGCACATAAAACTATGAAGAACAGCTGTGCACCCGAATTTATGGGCTGGTACAATCTCCTTCACGTAAGTCTCCTAGTGGTGTACCGTGGCAATAAAATGTGTCCACGAGCACAGCCACGAGGATGAACAAGTAATGGGTATGGGGATACATTCATCACCATGTATGTCATGATGCCTCTAACAGGCCAAGCGTTCCCGTCAGATCCACCACGATATCTGAATTTCACATTTGAAGTTCCATTTCCAGAGTTAAAAAAAAAAGAAAACGAAGTCTGGAAATCAACCCCCTTTTGAGTGCAGAAAATCCAGAGAAGGAGGAGACAGCTGGGCAACACAGACTGTTAGTGGGATTGAGAGCATCAGTCGCGGCGTAGAGACGCTACACGACGCAGAGCCATAGCCGAAAGCTAAGCACACACATCCACACTTGAAAAAGACTTCTTCCAAAAATTCTTCCTCGCGAAGAGTTCACAAAAAAATAAATCCATACGCACCGACTCTCGTACGAGAGGATCATGAAAAAACCCTTGAAGTAACACCTCTCCAGGCGGAATACCTCTACGCATTTCGCTAGAGACGCCCTCCCTACGCTCATCAGGAGGTTTCGGAAGATACTGAAAATCCAGACTTCCCGCCCACGCAAAGCCACCAGCTATCATGTCCAACTTTGTTTTCTGTGTTTTTTTTTTTCGAAGCATCTCATTTGATGGGAGGTGGGTATCTTTACAGTCCCCGCTCGGAAACTACCAGGCCATCGAGATCCGATCTATTCGACGGCCGCACTGTGTCACTCAAAGCCACACATGATCGAAATCCTGAAAGAAGTGGTAAATTCTCAAGGAAGTGGTAGAATACTTTGCTAATGAGTCCAGGCCCCTGGAATACGTTAAAAAAAAAAACAAAAAAAAACTAAAAACAAAAAACGAGAAAAAAAAGAAGAAAAAACCACGTCCCGCAGAACGTGGTTGGGGGTGGGGCGGAGAACGGTCGGGTGTTCGGGTCCGAACACCGGCCACCCTGCTTGCAAAGTCCTGCCTTTGTTTTTTTTGTTTTTTTTTCAGTGCTCCCTTTTTTGTGTGTGTATCTTGGGATTGGGTGAACTTACGGATCGAGTGAATGCACTAACTTTATCTACTTGTCTCAGGGCATACTCACACTGGGACCTATAATCCCAAAATCCCCCCAAAAAGGGGAAAAGGCCGGTCACACGGATCTACCAAATTTGCAAATGTACTATTCCAATACCATTTGTCAGCGGACTGGGAAGCCGCGGGGCAAGGGATTTCGTGGTCACCTCTGGAGGTGACGGCAAATGCCCTTTTTTTTTTTGCATTTTTTTCAAAAATTGGCAAAAATTCGTTCACAAAACTTCTTGCACAATTTGTGGATGTCCTGTGACCAGTCAAGTACCAAATCCCCATTTCTCCAGACGGCGGCGACCTTGTCCCATCTGAAAACGTACAGCAGTGTGACGTGAACCATGCCCAAAACCTCAAATAGGACCTTCCCAAATCCGCATATTTTGCGGATTTGGGGTCTCAGTGTGAGGGCACACTCACACTACCATGTATTTTCGCAAAATAGCAAATTTTATGTAGTTTTCGGGGTCACAAGAGGCACGTATTTTGCATGTTCACACAAAAGGGCACGTAAATGTCAGCAGCCTGGACAGCCGTGGCTTACATATTTTGCGGGGACCTCCAGAGGACCCCCAAAATCGTATTTCTTTTTCCTCTACTGCTTTCTGGAAGCAAAAAAAAAAAAAAAAAAAAAAAAAAAAAAAAAAAAAGTGCAATTTGCTGTCTGACTGCAGACAACGTATTTTCGCATCTCAAGGCCTTGAGAGGTCGCTACCCTGTCTTTTCTGCTTTGGGCAACAAACGGGTGACCAGTGTGACCCCCAGGTGCCATATAAACGCAAATTCACATACGTAAATTTGGGGAAGTAGGTGCTAGTGTGAGTATGCCCTGACTATGCCCTCACAAATAGATGATCCTTCTCTTGCATTTAACAATTTAATTCTGACAATCAGGTCCTTGCCTGGGACCCTTCCCCCCCCCCCCACCGTATAAAGAAAACCGACCCTTCCCAGGACCCAGGCACAAAAAACGACAAAAAACTTAGACGAGCAGTCCGGTCGGCCCCGTTCATGGACACGTGCATGAACCCGTCGTGTACCCGTGGCTGGGACCCGTTTAGGGTACCAGCTGTTCATGAACAGTGGGTAGGCACTGTCTTTTATACGGAATTTTTTTTTTTTTTTTTTTTTAATTTTTTAATTTTATTTTTATTTTAGGTATACAGATTCTCATCGTATCCACAGAATACATTGTATGTAAACAAAGGAAGGTAGGTTTATATTGGCATACTCTCTGCCAGAACAAGAGCGGGCGGAGAAAAGACAACAAGACCCCATTCTCGGATTCTCCCTCCTGAAAAGCACATCTCACGATAACCTGTCTGTGTCTACACAGGTCTATATGCCTTCTTGAACAGGACATCCATCACGGCAGGGGCCGTAGTTCTTGCGAGCCCCACAAAAAAATGGGTACAGCCTTTATTGGGTATTTCATGGGGCACTGGACCCCTGTTTCCAGCAGCTACTGCTCCCCAGCAGTAGAATGGAGCTACCACAAGGGGCTCTACCAGGGCAAGCTGCTCATCATACCACTCCCCCTACCGTAGTAGCCTGAAATAGGTCTTCTTTTTTTTTTTTTTTTTTTTTTTTAAGGAAAAAAAGGAAAAGAAAGCCAGCACTCGGCTTTTTCGCAGCTATTAACTCGACTGGTATGTTTGTTGCTCGCACACCTCTTTCCATTCCTGGACAGAAATGATAAATCATTCCGTCAAATTCGTCAGTCATTTCATGAGTGAATAATTACGACCGGGCGCAATTCATGAGTCATTCATGGTCGAATTCAGGACCGTTGTTCTGACTTGTTCATCATATCACGGAATGAAAAAAAGAGAATAATGGAATAAATCAAAGGGCAGAAACAATGAAATCAGAATGGCAATAAAACGTTTTGTTACACACACTCGTCACGGTGACACTCCTCATTCAGTCCGTCGACAAAAGTCCTCAGTAATTTGTGAGTGGAATTATAACGATTCGCTAGCGGTCCGGGGCCCTCTGGGTCTTCCCCTTCCACTCGAAACAAAACACACTTCACTTAACTTCTTGTTTGCATGCCCATTTCAATTTATAGCAGCCACTCCTCAAGGACTCTGGGGCTGCTCATTGGAGCGGGATGATTCCGGATTGGAACTACGTAAACTGTAAACATGCACACAAAAAACACCCCCCCACGGTCCCACCTGCTCTTCCCCTCATTAACTCACAGCAACTGGGTGATCCTCTCTCTCTCTCTCTCTCTCTCTCTCTCTCTCTCTCTCTCTCTCTNGAAAAGAAAGCCAACACTCGGCTTTTTCACAATTATTAATTCGACTGGAATGTTTGTTGCTCGCACACCTCTTCCCATTCCTGGACAGAAATGATAAATCACTCCCTCAAATTCGTCAGTCATTTCATGAGTGAATAATTACGACCGGGCGCAATTCATGAGTCATTCATGGTCGAATTGAGGACCCTTGATCATCATATCACGGAATGAAAAAAATAGAATAATGGCATAAATCAAAGGGCGGAAACAATGGAATCAGAATGGCAATAAAACTTTTTGTTACCCACACTCGTCACGGTGACACTCCTCATTCAGTCCGTCGACAAAAGTCCTCTGTAATTTGTGAGTGGAATTATAACGATAACGATTCGCTAACGGTCCGGGGCCCTCTGGGTCTTCCCCTTCCACTCCAAACAAAACACACTTCACGTAACTTCTTGTTTGCATGCCCATTTCAATTTATAGCAGCCACTCCTCGAGGACTCTGGGGCTGCTCATTGGAGAGGGATGATTCCGGACTGGAACTACGTAAACATGCACACAAAAACCTGCTCTTTCCCTCATTAACTCACAGCAACTGGGTGATCCTCTCTCTCTCTCTCTCTCTCTCTCTCTCTCTCTCTCTCTCTCTCTCTCTCTCTCTCTCTCTCTCTCTGACGCAGACGCAGACGCAGGACTTGATGACCATAGTCGTCCTGTGAACTCTCCGTAGTCTGAAGACATCGTAGCCCAGCCCCGAACTCTCGGAGCAGAACGTCTCAAACTGCTGTTGTTTTGTGTTCTCTTTCACTCCGTCTTTCTTTTCCCTAGTTGTCTCTCAATCTTCCCCCATCTCTTGACCTCTAACTCGGTCATCACGTTTTTTCTTTTTTCCAATTACGGGCCCGAACTACTAGGCAATGTGATGGGTGCATCCCTCCCTTGTAGTCAGGACCAGTGCTCCAGTCTATTCGTGGGGAGCAGCAGTTCCACAGAGCACCCAGTGCCACCACCCGGTTGACATTCTGGGAAACTACAAACTGCAATCGCTGGCGAGCTGGCGGACGTCATATCCCAACGTCTTACCATAAATTGCAATCTGTTGCCCGCAGCGGGTCTTCATTTCCTCGTAATCTTTCATTCCCTTGATGAACTCGCAGCAGGTAGATGTGAACGGGCCTTGCTTCGGCGTACACACCTCTTGTAAACTTGCCCAGGGAAGCCTTGGAACAGCTGTGGAGCAATACCCAGGGAACGTAGGCGTAGTATAAGTGTCCTCTTCTTGGCCTCGAGCACATTGCAGGTCGTTGAAGATGAGCGAGCAGGCAAAGAGAAGTAGCATCACGACAGCAAACCGTACAGCAGCCATGGCCGCGTCGCAAACACCTCACCAGCGCAACTCTCTCTCTCTCTCTCTCTCTCTCTCTCTCTCTCTCTCTCTCTCTCTCTCTCTCTCTCTCTCTCTCTCCTCGACTGTCTGTCTGTCTGTCTGTCTGTCTGTCTGTCTGTCTGTCTGTCTCTCTCTCTCTCTCTCTCTCTCTCTCTCCTCGACTGTCTGTCTGTCTCTCTCTCTGTCTGTCTCTCTGTCTCTCTGTCTCTCTCTCTCTCTCTCACACACACACACACACACACAGACACACCCACACCCACAGAGCGAAGACAAGCAGAACGCTGCAGACGTCTACAAATCTTCTTTCCTTGAGGATGCAGAGTAGCTGCGGTATTTGTAGCTTATGCACAGGTAACAGCGAGAGGGACGATTTGACGGACAAGCGAAAGAGGAGAAAGATGGAAAAGAGCTCAGGGAGGAGAGGGCAGGGTAGAGGGGGAAAAGGCGGCCTTGGCAATATGCATGTACCTTTTGGCACGGCGCCCTTAACGAAGGGAAGACATCGGAAAACGTGGCCTGCTTCACCATGCGGATCCCCCCATAGCACACGACCGTCATACCTATCTTTACTGAATCTTCATTTTTGGGAAAAGTGCACATCCCCTTTGCTGCAAAACCTTTGTAATTTTTTTTAAACCACGCCGGGTGTGGTACGGTCCGCCGTAAAAACAACTTTCATAATGAGATTTCAACCGTCCCTATCTACCATCCTGCAAAGCAAAACCATTCAAAGGGAAAAGGCTTGGAAGAATCAGTGGAGAAAGAAGACCCTGTTGAGCTTGACCTAGTTCGTCGACTTTGAAATGACTGTAATTTTGAATGTCCAGAATAAGTGGGTGCTTCGCTGCGCAAGTGAAATACCACCGAAAACAAAAAAATGAAAAACATCAAGTGCAGCTTTGCACACCGCCTGTAGAGCCCATTATGCCATTATGCCCAGGGTGCAAAAATGCACGTCAAAGTTTCTTTCAGGAAGTACCACACACGGTTTGCCCTCTCTGGGATAAACAGTTTTAATTGAAAATGGTTTTCAGGCAGCCCTACATATTATATTTTCAGGGTTTAGTACCTTTATTTTCAGGCTTTTTTTTTTTTGGTCCTTGACTTGTCAGGTGCATATTTTTGCGAGCACGTGCTCGAACTGCTCGGATCTGGTTCACGAGGACCACACACACACACACACACACACACACACACAGAGCACACGGAGAGAGAGAGAGAGAGAGAGAGAGAGAGAGAGAGAGAGAAGGTTATGAGGTTTAAAGCTCAAACTGTAGATAACCATGATCACCGGTCAATCTCTCTTGGTCGGCGCAAGCTGATTGCAACAGAGGAAGCAAAGGTGGAGATGGAGCTTTCTTGTATTGGGAGAAAGGCAAGGAACTTCCATAATAACATCCCCCTTGGCCTTGAGGCTGGGAATTCCTCACAAACAACTAATCAACTGAGGTTACGTGGGCAATTGGACGCCCAAAAACAGAGCTGCAAAAACGAAGTGGGGGGTTGGGGAAACACAGGAAATGTACGTGCGGGGTGGGGGTGTGGCGCTACCCGTAAATTCCCCGTAATGAGTCAAATACCAAGCAAGAAGTGGAGGAGTGGAGACCAGCGAGTTTCTTGGAGACCCAAAGTCCTAACGACCAGTGGTCCAGTACCCATCCCAAAAAAAAAAAAAAAAAAAAAAAAAAAAATCCAGGAAATGCGCTTAAACCATGCGTAACCAGAGGAGGAAATGTGAGCACCGGATCTCCGGCGATTGTGGAAATGTGACCGACTGTTGGGAGATAATTCCCATCAGAAAGAAGAGGCTGGAGGGTAGTGGTGGTTTAAGGCCCCTGAAGTTTAAGACAAGAGTCTGCACGACCATGTCAGATCGTGACCTCAATGAGAGTATGATGGCGGCATGCAATGCCATGATCTATAACTGGATGTGCAGGGGTCCTGCTGCCGCTTTTTGAACGGGACTGGATGGCAGCATGGATGATCAATAAGATGATCTATAACTGCCTATGATTGCTTGGCAAGACAGTATGTGTAAGTCAGTGTTCCCCGCACAAGTAATCCCCCTTCCCCCTAGTCCACTTAATGTTATCAGTAGCACATATTATTTGCTGTATACACCCACCCCAAAGTTCTCCGTCGGATAGAAGTTAAATTATTTGCAGGGAGTTGGTTGCAGGGACTTGGTTGCAAGAGGGCCTACGTCTGTTACCTGCTGATGCTTTGCTGCTTACCTGGGTTGCAAGCCTTTTTTTTCCTTTTCGGGAAATGTCGTGGACTTCAATAGAGGTTGGCGGGGGTGTTTTGGGGCTTTAGAGAGAGGCGGGAAGGGTGCGGTCGCGGCTAGGAGACGGACCAGTCATTGCAGGCTTTGGGAAATGGGTTGGTTCATAAGGTCGGTCCGGGTTTTTGATGGACAGCGACCTGTTTTTCCTTTTCGGGCCAACAGGCTTTTCCAAGGCTTTGGGCAATTGGGCAATTTTAGGCTTGGGAGTAGCAGGCTATTCGGGCGTCGTTGGAGGCTGACGAAAAAGAAAGAAGGGAAAAAAGAAGAAAAAAAAGGGAAAAAAACGGAGTTTCAAATGCAGGGACGTAGGGGAAGGCCCTCACGAGGGTGGCAGTTGCAGCAGTTCTTTGAGGAATGTATCTGGCCACCATGTGTGGAAGAGTTTTTTTTTTTTTTTGTTTTGCTTTTGTTCCAGTTCGTTGTAGTGCCCTGCCAGCCAGGCAGGGGGTTTTTAACGGGTGGCATTTCTCGACGCTGTAGCACCCTGTATCTGCCCTCAATCACAGAATAAGGGAGCTTTTCTTTGGGGGGGGCAGGGGGAGGGGGTTGGGTTTTTTTTGGGTTGTTCATCCATAAACGCCCTCCCTCAGAGCACAGTCACACGAATACCTCGTAGAATGTATCTGGTAGTTATAGAGACTACTTCTGAGTTTTTTTTTTTTTTTTTGAGGAATGCATCTGGCCACCATGTGTGGAAGAGTTTGCTTTTTTTTTTGTTTTGCTTTTGTTCCCGTTCGTTGTAGTGCCCTCCCAGCCAGGCAGGGCGTATTTAACGGGTGGCACGTCTTGACCCTGTAGCACCCTGTACCCGCCCTCAATCACAGAATAAGGGAGCTTTTCTTTGGGGGGAGGGGGGGGGGGGTTGGTTTTTTTTTGGGTTGTTCGTCCATAAACGCCCTCCCTCAGAGCACAGTCACACGAATACCTCATAGAATGTATCTGGTGATTATAGAGACTACTTCCGAGTTTTTTTTTTTGTTTTGTTTTTTTTTCTCTTTGTTCCTTCTCCTATGAAACTGCCCTGGCTAAGGCAGGCAAGTGGCATTCAGGAGGTCTTGGGTTCAATCCCCATTGGCCTCATGTACCTTCCTGGGCAAGCTTGGCGCCCGCCACCTAGAGATATGCCATCGGTCCCCCCGAGTGGCATTGAGCAGAGAAGAGACTGCTGATGTTCATAGGGGGAGGGGACCGCAGGGGAGGCACAGTGACTGGCCCATCGAAGAAGCTCAGTCCTGATGAGGCACAGTGACTGGCCCATCGAAGAAGCTCGGTCCTGATGAGGCACAGTGACTGGCCCATCGAAGAAGCTCGGTCCTGATGCTACGGGCTGACCCCTGGTCGGTATAGCCCACCTGCTGTAGCAGGTATCGCACCTGCTGGTGGGTGCAGCTCCCGCATGTTCCCTTGTTGGAGGCTTGAGCACGGATATGGCTGCTACGGGGTTCCCATAATACTATAAATTCTATAATGACAATAAAAAAGGCCTGAAAGGCTGTCCTGTCCAGATTCGATAGGTAATTGAATTGGTTGGGCTTAAACGAATTAGCCTTTTTACTTTTAATTAAAAAAAAAAAAACTGCCCCGGCTCGGCAAAACTCGGTGCGCAGTGAAAATCAGGGAAAAAGGGTTCGTCGACGACTGGAGCCTGAACTTGACCGCTCTTAGGCAAGCGGGTCGTTCTATTTGGTCGTCGAGTCAAGTCTGGCATTTTTTTTATTTATTTTTTTTCCTCTCTTTTTCGGTCGACGAACGAAAAAATGCTTCTCCCCGCAGCCCCCTAGGCTACAATCTCCTACACCCTGGCTGCGCCCCCGCGCCCTGCGCGGTCACAGTCAACGAGGGCTCTAAGAATCTCACTCAGTTTTTTAACTCTGAACTGCATCGACGCTGGTGCCCTTTTTCTTTTTTCGTGTGTGTGTGTGTTGGGGGGGGGGAACAAATGTTCCAGTCTATTCGTGGGGAGCAGCACGTGCTGGGAACCGCGGGCCCAGCGTCCCCTACGTGCACTGAATAACAAATTGCCCAAGACTTGCAATCTGCTTTCCACACTAATCAGCAATCAGCCATTTGTAGCCCAAAACTGGGCATGTGGCAGTGTGGCACCACGCATGGTAAAGCTGCCACAGAAGCTGGGGGCACTGGGCTTGTTGCCGAATCCAGTCTGTGACTCTGTGTCCGAGGAGGGTGCAGTGGGGGCCCTGGGGGGTACACATGGAAAGAGTTAAGGTTGGATCAACTTGCATGTCAGAGAGAGAGAGAGAGAGAGAGAGAGAGGTAGGTAAATAGATAGATAGATAGATAGATAGATAGATAGATAGATAGATATGATGGACTCATTGGACTGTAAGGCGTCTGGTGGACACGACAGGGAGGAACACGAGGAGCAGAGTTAGAGCATGGCTGTCTCCAAGGGAGCAGTGGCTGAGGCTCTTCCAGGCCTGATGGGAAGAGGCGTCTGTTTAAAATGTTGTAATCAAATTCATAATTGGAGCCTTGGGCACTGGGCCCGTTTCTTGAAAAAAAAAAAAGCATGGATGCATTAGAGCAGAGCGCAGATACTGTGTACACAGGAGACGAGACTTAAAGAACGAAATTGAGTAGTAGGGCGCTTGGTGGGACGGACCCCAACTTTTGTCCACATCAGAGGGCGGCAAAAGAAGGGTGTATTCTGGTGCTCAGGGCTCTCGACGAGTAGGTGGGCTTGGATCAAATTTCAATCCCACAGTCGTGATTAGGCTGTTATGACGGTGTATGGACCTGCTGATAACAACATGGAGTTTGCATTTTTGGATGTCCTTGGCAGCCAATGGCAGGGCTGTTGACGCCCGCGCCGCGATCCTGGACCTGGACGGAGGTCCAGGGATGGGACCCCCAACACAGGGAAAATTCCTCCGGCCCCCCAAAAGAATAGAACAACAATTGGAAAAAAAAAAAAAAGGAGGGGGGCACGCAGTGACTGCGCTGTCATCACGGGAAAAAAAAAAAAAAAAACAGTTTAGGGACCACCCGGAGTCCATTGTGGATGGTGTCCATGCTGGCGTGGGGCTGGGAGCTCTGGGGCTGGGGACGGGTGGGGACATGGGCAGGAGCGGCGGCGGGGGCAGGGGGTGGCGGCGGGTGAGCATGCGCAAGGACTGGGACCGGCGGTGTGGCAGGGCCCGCTTGCAGGGCTGGAGGTGAGCGGAGGCGGGGTGTTGTGGGGATAATCGGTAGAAAGAGCCCACGCCAAAACCTTTCCGGGTTTGGGCACCCGAAACTCTGCTGTTTGGTACTACCTGCCCAAACCGTCTTCTGCCTGGGTGAAAGGCGCCTTCGCGCGGTGGCCACATCTCGGTGGGCCTGTTCTTACCAGTTCAAGAATTTGGCGGTTTTTTTGGGCCACATTCATGAACCGGTAAGGCCCTTCTTTTTCAAAATCCCTTACGTGGGCCTCATTCGATACTTCAGCGGTACCACCGGTCGGCCTGTTTTACATCAAAATGAATCTGGCACTTTTATGAGCAAGATTCATGATCCGCTAGGGCCCTTGGAGGGGCGGGTGGGCCTGTAGTACGCCAACGTGGAAGTCATTGGGCCGGTAGTACCAAACGGCCTAGTTTCAGGCGCCCCAAACCGAAAAGGTTTAGGCAATACCTTTCTCAGCCTTTTGGCTATGATCAAGTGTAATATCTGTTCTGATCAGCTTAATATCTGATCCATAGTCCATCGGGCCACATGATATTAAATTAATTTTTGGGGGGTACAGTGGGGTCATATGGGTAGGCTTGCCTACTCGACCCCCTCTGAGATGCCTCTGTATTGCACTGCAGCCTTCCAGGAAATTAAAAAAAAAATAAAAAATAAAAAAAATGAAAAGGTTTAGGCGTGGGCACTTTCTACCGAGTATCCCGGTGTTGTGTGTTGTCATATTCGCTATACACTCGAAAAAAGCATGACTGTAGTCACTGTACCAGACTGTTTCGTCGGACTTTCACCGACTCATCAGGAGGTTGTGTGTGTGTGTGTATGTGTGTGTGTGTGTGTGTGTGTGTGTGTGACAGTGGGGTTGGAGGCGGGGCGGGGTGCAGGTGGCGATGGAGGCGGGGGTCCGGATGGAGACTAGTTCCCAGGGCAGGGTTGCGGGATTACGGGGAAGGATTGGCACCCCCGTGGTGAGGATGAAAAAAAGATGAAAAAAAGAAGGACAGAATTCG